CTTCTTTGTCTCCTTAGGCTGAGAATCACCAGGGAGAGTAATGGTGATTGCAACAGCATCGTGGGAATCGTTGCGCATGCCACGGTCCTGGTACGATGCGCCAACAGCGATGGGCTTGAACTGCGCAGTGGCCCCAGAGACCGCCACGTTGTCACCTTGGCGATCACTTGGATGCGCAAACACATCCCGCAACTGCTCGTCATCGGTGCGGCGCTGCAGAGCAACGCGGGTCTGCGTGGACGCCAGGTTGTTGTCGCCGACAATGACGCGGACAACTGGTGCGTCCACTTGCGGACCTGGAAGGCTGTCCAGGTAGAGTCGGAGGAGCCTGACCGCACGTTGTTTGGTCAGCACCGACGGCGGCTTCGCTCCGCAAACGATGTGCAAGTTGGCAGTAATCAAATGAATTCTACCATGGCCTTCTATTTGCACATCGAACCGTGTGATCACCGCGTCCACATGTCTCCCGATTGGGATGTGATGGATATGCTTGTCTCCCTGCAGGGAAACATCGACAGGCTGAAAAGCGCCGCCGAATCCCCACAGGCATAGGTAGTTGTCAACCTCGGAGAAACAGACATTGTCGCCAAACGGTTTCGTCAGGATGTCTGCCGCGTCAGCCATCGCTTTGCTGAGGCCTTGCCGAGACGCACCGACTTCGCAAGCAAACGACAGATCAGCATCACCGTCCTGGACGATTGTGGCGCACACGCGGGCAAAGTTGGAGAAGTGAGTGCCAGCCCTTTTCCCAGTCATCCTATTCTGATCGAATCCGAAGTTGAAGGAGGCGATCGTGAAAGACGCAGGCTGAGAAGCACAGCGACCAGTGGCGACCGCGGGCTCCTGCCGGCTTTCGTTCGCAGGCTGAGAAGCACCACGAGAAGCTGACGCTGAAGATGCCATCGCGAGACTGGCGCCTTTTCACCGCAGAAGAGTGCCGCGGCAAAAACTCTGCAAGCCAAGCGCTGGCTGAGTAGCACCGCGGCTGGACAGGCTGCGCAGGCTGAGTAGCACCGCGGCTGGACACAAGCTCCTTGTAGGCGGCCAGGCGCCGCAGGATTGCCTTGGTCCGGATGCCACTCTCAAGCATGAGCAGGTCCTGGTCGATCCTGTTCTGCGCCTCCTCAGCGAACCCTTCCATAGGGTTTGGAAGGTCCTCCGCCTCCGCGATGCGAGCCGTTTTTGTGGCTTCGCTCTCCGCCTGCTGGAGGGCCTGGAGCTCGGCCTCCTGCTCCGGGGAGAACTGCTTGGCCTTCTGTGCTTTCCGGACTTGCCAGCCCAGCTGCCGCTCTGCGAGGGCACGCCCGGCGGACTCCTTCGGATAGCGGCCGAGGTCTCGCACCTGCTGCATGAGCTGCTCGGTCTTCGGCTGCTGCAGGAGCTCGTCGGGCTTCGTGTCCGCCTGCTGGAGAGCCTGCAGCTCGGCCTCCTGCTCCGGGGAGAACTGCTTGGCCTTCCGCGCTTCCCGGACTTGCCAGCCCAGCTGCCGCTCTGCGACGGGGCGTCCGGCAGTCTCCTTCGGGCAGCGGCCGAGGTCTCGCACGTGCTGCATGATCTCCTCGGTCTTCTGCAGGAGCTCGTCGGGCTTCGTGTCCGCCTGCTGGAGAGCCTGGAGCTCGGCCTCCTGCTCCGGGGAGAACTGCTTGGCCTTCCGTGCTTTCCGGACTTGCCAGCCCAGCTGCCGCTCTGCGACGGGGCGTCCGGCAGTCTCCTTCGCCCAGCGGCCGAGGTCTCGCACGTGCTGCGTGATCTCCTCGGTCTTCTGCTTCCGCTTGAGCTCCTCGGTCTCCGTAGCGCCGTCGAGGACCTGGAGTTCCTGCAAAACGTCATTAGGGATGCTCTTGCGATTGTCCGAGAAACGTTTGGCAAACTTGTTTTCCTTCAGTTTTTTTTTTCAGACGTTCCTGTATTATGCCTGGGTATCCGGCCAAACTGCTTCACGTCCTCGACGAGCGTTTGCAGAGGTCCGCTCAATGCAGCGCGCTGAGGAGCAGCGCTGACGGCGCGCAACTCTGAGGACGGAGCGCCCTCGAGGGCTTGCAATTCAAGCATAACGTCATTGGGGATGCTGGCGCGATGGTCTAAGAAACGTCTGGCCAACTTGTTTTCGGCTCGTGCTTCTTCGGACGTTCCTGTATTTTGCTTCGGTATCCGGCCGAACTGCTTCACGTGCTGGACGAGCGTTAGCAGAGGACCGCTCAATGCAGCACGCTGAGGAGCAGCACTGTTCAATGCCGCAGGCTGAGGAACACCGCTGTTCAGTTCAGCAGGGTCGGGAACACCGCGGCCAGACCGAGAACTACCAGCATGCCGTGGCATTATGGTGTGCAGTAGGCGCTGAGCAGTTCCTTTGAAAGCAGGGCTCTAGCCAAGAAGGCTACGAAGATGGGTGATGACGATGATGGTGATGATGGTGGGCATCGTTTGTGGATGAGCTGTTTCCTCCTCCTCCTCTTGGAAGAAGTGCATGGGTCTCCGGGCCATCAAAGTATGGCACAGGTTTTCTTGTTCCGGGCACTCGAAGAAGACAATGTAGCCTACAGTTGGCTGCGGGCATTGAAAGTGTGGCCCGGGCACGGAGTTCTGGGAACTACTACTACTACTACTACCACTACTACGACTACTACTACTACTACTACTACTACTACTACTACTACTACTAATACTACTACTACTACTACTACTACTACTACTACTACTACTACTACTACTACTACTACTACTACTACTACTACTACTACTACTACTACTACTCTACGAGTAGAAGGGAGAAGGGAAAGGACGGAGAGGGAGGGCTCGGAGACCCTTGGAGGGGGGGATGTGCCCATCCGAGGGAACGGTGCACCCCCCCCTCCCCGTCGTCAATTCGAGGGAACCAGCCATGGCAACGACCCCCCTCCTATCCCCCTCCGCGACCTGAGTAGACCACCCAGGCCAGCGGAGGACGTCATAGGAGGCAAGGGTTCTGACGTCGATGAGAGAAGAAAAAGGAGGAGGAGGAGAGGCGTGTACTACTACTACTACTACTACTAACTACTACTACTACTACTACTACTACTACTACTACTACTACTACTACTACTACTACTACTACTACTACTACTACTACTACTACTACTACTACTACTACTACTACTACTACTACTACTACTACTACGACTACTACTACTACTACTACTACTACTACTACTACTACTAACTACTACTACTACTACTACTACTACTACTACTACTACTACTACTACTACTACTACTACTACTACTACTAGTACTACTAGTACTACTACTACTGCTAGTACTAGTACTAGTACTATTAGTACTAGTACTATAGTACTACTAGACTACGACCTACGACTACGACTACGACTACGACTACGACTACGACTACGACTACGACTACGACTACGACTACGACTACTACTACTACTATACTACTACTACTACTACTACTACTACTACTACTACTACGACTACGACTACGACTACGACTACGACTACTACGACTACTACGACTACTACGACTACGTCTACGACTACGACTACGACTACGACTACGACTACGACTACGACTTACGACTACGATACGACTACGACTACTACTACTACTACTACTACTACTACTACTACTACTACTACTACTACTACTACTACTACTACTACTACTACTACTACTACTACTACTACTACTACTCTACGAGTAGAAGGGAGAAGGGAAAAGACGGAGAGGGAGGGCTCGGAGACCCTTGGAGGGGGGATGTGCCCATCCGAGGGAACGGTGCACCCCCCCCTCCCCGTCGTCAATTCGAGGGAACCAGCCATGGCAACGACCCCCCTCCTATCCCCCTCCGCGACCTGAGTAGACCACCCAGGCCCGCGGAGGACGTCATAGGAGGCAAGGGTTCTGACGTCGATGAGAGAAGAAAAAGGAGGAACGAGTAGAAGGAGGAGGAGAGGCGTACGAGTACTACTACGACTACAATGGCGTGTTCTCCACAATGCGTCCCGGGAATGGAATTCTGGGAGGTGGAAGAACAGGAAGTGGCGTGCAGTTGGCTCCGGGCATCCAAAATGTGCGCCAGGAGTGGCAGGAGTGGCATTCGGCGATGGCGTTCGGGGCAATCGAAGAGCACGAAGTGGCCTACAGTTGGCTCCGGGCATTCAGAATGCGGCCCGGGAATGGTGTTCTGGGAAATCGAAGAGCACGAAGTGGCCTACAGTTGGCTCTGGGCAAACAGAATGTGGCCCGGGAGTGGCGTTCTGGGAAATCGAAGAGCACGAAGTGGCCTACAGTTGGCTCCGGGCATTCAAAATGTGGCCCGGGAGTGGTGTTCTGGGACCTCGAAGAGCACGAAGTGTGTGACTGTTGCGTCCGGTTATTCAAAATGTGGCCCGGGAATGGAGTTCTGGGAGGTCGGAGAGCACGAAGTGTGTGACTGTTGGCGAAAAACGAGCCCGGTTCGTCCGCCCGGCGTCCGCTCGGCAGCTCGCCGACATCCGCCCAGACCCCCGTGGAGTAAGCTGCTGCCCTCTTTTGATCCTACTAGAAACCTATCAGTCTACGCTGTTAGGTAAATAATGGACGAATCATCCCCCGAATTCTTGTGTTATTTTTGAATCTTCCTCCTGTTGAAACAGCTGCGACCCTCCGGAGGTCCGCGTGGGCTGCTTCGATCGGCGCCGGTCCCCCCGGCGGTGCCTCCCGGGGCGCGCGCGCCCCAGTGTGCAGGCCCCGTGCCAGGCGCCCGACTCAGAAGGGGGGCCCGCCGCCGACCCCGGAAGCACGCGCGGAACTGCTCCGTAAATCGATGTAGGCGTGCTCTACGCTGGGGCACTTGAGGATGGTGTTTACGGAGCGCCGTTGACGGCAACACCACACCGCTCACCCTCCGGGTCTTCGCCTCCGGCTCCTGTCCAAGGCGTTCCTTTTCCTGTGCAAGCTCTTCAGCACCGCCTGCAACCCGGCCCGCCCTCCGGCCGCCTGAGGCCCCGCCCGCCTGTGCCCTGTCTCCCCAGTTAGAGCTGTGCGTAGCCCGCCTAGCTCTTACCGGAGGAGGTTCGCTCTCGCCCCGCAGACCAAAAAGTGCTCTGCGCTGGCGGCGCGCAGAGGGGGGATGTACGGGGCAGGGGGAACAGCCCATGATGGTCCGCTACCGAAAATTTCCGGTAGCGCTCCGCAGAGATCGGTCGCTACCGAAATACCGAAATGTAGCGCCCAATACCGGTATCAGAGCGTTCTGAAATCCGCTATTTCAACGCCCTCAAACGAAGATCCGGTCGCTACCGAAATTCGGGGTGCGTCGAAAGCACTACCGAAAATTTCCGGTACCAGACCATCTGGGGCTGCTCAGGAGCAGCAGCCCGGCTCCTCAGGAGGCGCGGGCCTCGCATCTGGGGAGAGGCGGCGCGCGCCTTCGCAGAAGCACACTCCAAATCCCGTATTAATCGACCCCCCCCTAAAAAACCAGACCCCCCTCCAAATGCGACCTAATATTCCGGACCCCCTCTTCGATGGGGCGCCTTAATAAACCAGACCTCCTCAGCTCCAACCCAAAGAAAGCGAACTAATAAACCGGACCCCCTTAATGACCAAAAAGGCGCCTTAAAAAACCGGACCCGGGGGACGATTAATAAGGGATGTGGAATAGGGTGCTTCTGAGCAGCCCCCAGTCATTACCCGCCCTCTGCTCGTGGCCGCGCGCGCGCTGGCGCCGTCAGCCCCCTGCGAAGCCCCGCTGGCCCGAGCCACAGGCAGCAGAGGTCCTGCCAACACGAAAGGCTCGTCGTCCTTCTCGTCGTCCCCCCTCCGCCCCGTCCCCGCTCCCCCCCTGGCCCAGACTGAAGGGGCCCTGGGACACACAAACAAATACACACAAATAACAAGAATCCCCATATGTTCAAATATCTTCTGGGTTTCTGTCTCCCCCCCCCCACTTCCCATATTTTCCCATATGTTCATTGGGATCGACGGTGAATTGTGTCTGTGTTTTTCCCCCTCCTGACAGACACCCGACGAGGAGGCTCTCTCCATGCGCGGCCGCACGCCTCCCGACCACCTCCCCGGGGAGCTTGCTTTCGTCCTGGGCCCCTGCTTGATGGCCCTGGGGGCCGAGAACTGCCAGAATACAGGATCCCCGCGCGCTGCGCAAGTGAGCAGTCGTCTCAGGGCGAACGCGCGGCGCGCGCCCGCGGCGGCCCGTAAGGCGGGACAGGCCTACGCGGGCGGGCCGTGCGACGCTCTCAGGCGGCCTCGTTCAACGAGGGCACCCGGGCGGCCAAGGGAGGCCGCAGCAGCGCCGCAGGTCAGCCTTCGAAGAAGGAGGGAGGAGAGAGGGAGGGGGCCGAGAAGCTGCAGACGACTGCAATCAGCGGGCGCGATGGGGATAAGAAGAAGCATCCCCGCACGCTGCGCAAGTGAGCAGTCGTCTCAGGGCGAACGCGCGGCGCGCGCCCGCGGCGGCCCGTAAGGCGGGACAGGCCTACGCGGGCGGGCCGTGCGACGCTCTCAGGCGGCCTCGTTCAACGAGGGCACCCGGGCGGCCAAGGGAGGCCGCAGCAGCCACACCCAGGCTCAAAGCCCTTGCGAAGTGACAAGGTTTCGGCGGGCGGCCGCGAGCTGAATGGGCCACACAGCCGGGCCAACATTCAGAAAGGATGCGACGAGGAAGTCGCTGGAGTCGGCGAGGTAAGAAACACGGTCCCGAGCAGCTTCAGCCAATGATGGGAGGACTGCAGAGGCGGCAACATCGTAAAGATATCGCTCCGTACTGGAAGCTTGCCGCCAGCGATCACGCCAGAAGACGCGAGTAATGCCGTCCGAAATATCGGTTCTGAAGCGCAGCGCAGGGGACAGATCGAACCCCGATGGCGCTCTGGCGAGCGGGACGCCCAGCGCCGAAAGAAGATCGAGCCACCGAGTACGGAAGCCGCTTTGACCGAAGGTCAACAGGGGATCGGTGGGAGTCAAATCTCTGAAGACCAGCTCCATCATCCTGACCACTGCTCGGTCGGAGCACCGAGCGTGTTGACGCTCTCCGCCCGACCCCTGGGCCTCCGGAACAGAGATGCTCAGCAAAGCGTCGCCCGCGGACTCACGGCGGTCAATGGGCAGAGTGAGGTCGCTCCGGCGGGCGGTTGCCAACTCACCAGGCCTCACGGACATAGTGAACACGGCAAGCAGCAGGGTGGCCATATCAGGCCAGTCCCATGCGAGGCACAACGCAACCATGGCGCGCAGCAAAGCACGTGGCAGCGGTGGGATGGGACAGGGAGGCTTGGAAGGGATCCACCGTTTTGCCACATCCCACGCCTCGGTGAGGACGCCCCTCCACTGGGGCTGAAGAGCCCGCGCTCCCCGGATCGCATTCACAAGGGCGAGGCGGGGGAGGCCAGCATCGTACAACCACGCGCCGAAGGTCGCGAGCGCTCTCCCGAGCAAGATGCCGCTGCGGGCCCAAGTGGCAAGTGCCACACCTGTGTGCTCGACGCACCACACGTCAAACGCTTTAAGCGAACGAGTGCGCTGGTCGTCGCAAGAGGGGACGAGCCGACAGTGGCTGTCCACCTGCACCCCGAGGGCCTCGGAAGCCCCCTCGGGAAACGCAGGCGACAGAGAGGCAGGCCACTCCTGGCGCCCTGCCACGAAGGCTGGCGCGGGCGGCTCGCGACCAGACGAATTGGCCGGAGTGGTAGCTGCCGCTCCGGCGAGCGCCCGAACACGCCTGCGTTTGCGCTGTTCGGCGCGGGGGGCCTCGCTGACATCGCCGGTGCTCGGCGCGACTCCCGATTGGCGGTGCGTAGCGCTACCGGCCGTGGTGGGAGCACTCAGGGGCGCGCCGGCATCGGCTGCGGCGGCGCCTCCACCCGAAAAGCCCGAAGCGGAAACGCAACCTCTGATGCATTCGGCAGTGCGAGAGCGGGCGATGCGCAACGCCGCCTTCTGGCGCTCGAGCTCGGCCAAGGACGACTGCAAAAGCTCAACCGGACTTGGGCCCCCAGCCTCCGCGCCTCGACCGAATTCAACTTCGGTAAGGGCGGCGTCGCAAGCATCGACCGAGGCGCGGAACCGTGCCAAAGCGCGCCGTTCGTCCCGCACGCGCTTCGCAACCGTGGTCGTCGGGCCCACGACCCGGCCGGTGCGCAGTGCTAACCCGGTGAGCGGATCGGCACGGGAGTCGGACCAAGTGAAGGCGTCAGCGCGCTGGACGGCACGGGCGTCGGCGAGCCCCTCGGCGCGCGAGTCGGCGATCTGGTCGACGCGGGAGTCAGCGAGCTGGTCGGTGCGAAAGTCGGTGAGCTGGGAGGGATGACAGTCAGTGAGCTGGTCGCCGCGGGACTCGGTGAGCTGGGCGTCGCAGGAGTCGGCACGCTTGTCGGCGCAGCAGGAGTCGGGAAGGCTGGGAACCGGCGACACCTCGCTGCGTGCTGCGCTGTGGCCCCACGGAAGCACGGCTCTGGGTTGTGCCGCCCCGGCGGTGGCCGCAATGGCAGCCCGCTCGCGGGTAGCACGCAGCATAACCGCTGCGCCCTGCGAGCGCCCGGCCAGCAGGGCAGGCGCAGAGCTGGCGCGCGGCGCGACGCTATGGGCGTCGGTGCGGCACCCTGGCAAGGGGGGCAAGGTGCTGGCTCGAAAGGACGGGAGCGCCGCGACCGCGGTATGGGCGGCCCTCAGGTCGGCCTCCAGGCGAGCTTGCGTGCGTCGCATGGCGGCAGTGGGCATCGCGGGGGTCTGCACTGCGCAACGTGGCGCAGCCCGCGACCCTGAATCGCACCAGCTAGCGACCGCGCTCGGCTCTGCGTTTGGATACGCACCATGGGCGTTCCGACGCTCCCCCGGCACGCCGCGGGGGCGAGCACCAAGGGAGGCGTCGAGAGCCGAATCCCGAGTGGTGACCCCGCGCGAGCGGTTCGTGTCGTCACGCCTTCCCGCCGCCAAGAGCCCTCCGCCTGAAGCACGGCGAGTAGCGCCGCCAGAGGCCGGGGCATCGGAGCCAACCACATCGCGCCCAGGCCCGAGGATGAAGGCTTTGGCGTCACAGAGAGCACGCCATTTCTTGCTGGCCTCGATCGACGTATCGCGGCCGGGATGGCAGGCCCAACCCAGCCGTCGAAACTGAGCGTTCACGCGATCAGTGGTCGCACCGCGCTCCAGGTGGAGCAGGCCGTGCGCAGCAGCAAGTTTGGCGGCACGAGCTTGGCGGTGGCGAGTCTGAATCGCGACGGGTGGACGACCCAGAAGACCCCCCAACGAAGCGGGAGCCGAGCCGGTTGCCTTCGACAGAAGCGAGACGAGGTGAGTGTCCCCCGCAGGCGTACCAGGTCGAGCAGCGGCGATTGCGTCGCACTTGGCGCGTGACCTCCGCTCGGGCGCACCCTCTCCTGGTCCCCCGCCGGCGGCACGAACTCCTCCCTGCGGGGCCGTAACAGCATCGCTGGAGAGGCGCATGCCTACCGGTGGGGACGGCGAAGGGCTTGGTACCCGAGGGGCGGCCGGCAGGCTGTCACGGGCGCGAGTGCATCGCGACGCGGAGAAGCTCACCGCTGCCGCGCTCGAGGGCACCTCGACGGAAAAGGGAGTCCCCCTGCGCGGCGCGGCGCTTTCATATGCGCCGCGGGCCTCGGCGGAGGCCGTCGCGTCTCCCCTGTCGACCTGGGCTGGCGCTCGCACGTGGCGATCCGCGGGGAGCCCGAGCGGGCCCGCGCCCGCGGCGGGGCTGCGAGCCAGAACTTGCAGCACGAACCGGCCCCACAGACAAGTCGGGTAGGCGGATGCGGCGTCGGCGGCCGCTATCATGTCGAATCGCTCAAAGCGCCCCTCGTCGATGTCAAGCAACCAAGCAGGCTCGACACGCGAGGGGGGGCGAACAGGGCGATTGCGCGTGGGGTCGTCCGCTCGGTGGACGTCGGTCGGAACATAGAGCCCGCCCATGTAGAGCCCGCCCCCCAAAATGTACGGCAAGGAGGTGCTCAACACATGCGAAAGGCCAGGGCTGCTGCTCCGACCGTGGGCGGCCGCGCCTAGTGCCACTTGAGAATCCAAGAGAACAGGGATCCGTGAGTCAGGGTTGCGGATGCAACAGTACTTGCACAGACTCTTGAACACGGTGGTCTCCAGGATGTTGATGTGGCGGGGCATGCGAAATTCCCACTTATAAGCTAAGCGGAAACGCAGCGCCTCCGACAACTCACTGACCCAGCGCGGTGCGATGGGGAGCTCGAGGGAAGGAAGCCCGGCCTCGCGGTGCAGCTGGGTCAACTCGGGGCCTAAAGGTTCCCCGCGGCTCAGAACCATGAGCAGATGGCGGTCGTGGAGACGAGTATGCCAGCCGCCATGCTCGGAGCGCCGCCACAATTCTTGCGACAGGTGCGAACTGATGTCGCTGCGGACAACCCCGCCCCAGCCGAGGGAGGCATCCGTGCCGTACACTTCAGGGCAAGGCGTCGCCCGTAGGTCGGTCATCGCAACGAAAGCTAGGTACGTGCACGCTTGCAACTCGTCGCGAACCGAAGACGGAAGCTCATACTCAAGCCCGTCGTCGGGAAGAGTCGAGATGAAGGTGTAGATGTGAGTGAATATCGACAAGATGGGACGTCGATACAAAAACACCTGCACCCAACAGCCCACGAGCGAGCTCAACAACGCCCGGGTCGAGCGACCGAGGAACACCTGGATCAGAGTCAGGCGGCAAAGGGCCACAGTGCGAACCAGGGGAGCACACACTATGCCGATCCTG